CCTCTATTTATATAGATCAGTGCTCAGCACAACAGGGCCCCAATGCTGATGGAGGCACTACCATAAGATAAGTGAATAAAGAATAACCACTCAGAGTAATTTTTGACTGGAAGGAATGTAAAGCACCACTGGGCTCTGCAAATGAATCAACGACTCCTGATGGGCATTCATATCAAAACGGTTCTACTGGATATAACAGAACTGGAATGAACACCTGAATCTTATCCATTCCCAGCAGTAGATTATCAATCAAGGATGTCAGTGTAGTATCCTATCCCGTGCCCATGTCTGAAGCCCAACTGACAAGGATCAATGAAACAAAAAGAATTCAGATCATGTTATATTTGGCCAGCCAAATTCAAGCTAACTGAACCTGCTAGAGAAAAAAAGGTTTACGGAAAATCAAAAATGCTTGAACTGCCACAAAAGGTTTCTCTTAACTCTTCACTTAAATTACTGCATTTCTGTCCTAACGATCCTGTATGTCAAATGCTTTAAAGTGTATAGAAGATTCTCTTCTTTCCAGGTTAAACATAATGCTGTCTGGTCTAGTGTAACAAAATATATGTATTGTTTTAGAGAAGGGGAACCTAGAACACAGAAACTCCAAGCTGCTAATCCAATGCTTTAAATGATATTAGATTGTGTACTTGGACTCTCCAGGGGAAAGGCAAGTACTGCCCCCTTGTGCCTGATTTATGAATGCCAGTCTATGATTTTGGAACGACCAGCCTGAAGTCAGAATGTGGCAGGCTCTGCATCTGTGTACAAACGGGAGGAGGTGGAAGGGGCCTCCCACCCATTCATTCCTGTGGAGGGGTCACTCACAAGGGATCAGTGCTACTGTTTCTTCCTAGAGCCAGAGGTTGTGCTAGCCTCTTTATACGTCAGTGGTCCCCAAACTTTTCACACTGTGCCACCCCTTACTCCTGTCTGCACCCCCTCCCCCCAGAAATCACGGTCAGGAACCAGAGCCAGGAGAGAGGGCATGGCCGGGATAAGGGAGCTGGGGCTGGGGGCAGGGGCCAGGGCTGGGAGCAGAGCCACAGCCGGGCCATGGACAGGGCCGGCAGCTGGGCTAGGAGCCAGGGCTGGGGCTGCAGCTGGAGAGTGGGGTTGCAACTGGAGCCGGAGCAGAGCTGGGGGCAGAGCGGGGTTGGGTGGCACTCCCTCCCTGACCCCAGTAGGGGCTTCCCCCTCCAAAAACATTCCTCCATGCCCTTGTGGGGGGCACACACCACAGTTTGGGGGCCACTGCTATAGGTGATAGAAATGGTAGGATGAGGCTGAGGCCATGAGGGAAGAGAGCTAGCTGGGAGTTACATGCTGCACCCTTTCAAAAAGGTGGCAAAGGTGTTCAAACTCCCTCGGAGGAAGAATTCTGTCAAAGCTCCTATGGGGCTCCTGCTACCATGTGGTCCCTCCAAGCAAACACTCAAATGCAAGACTGTGTATTAAAACTAAAATTCAGTCCTTCGTTCAGAGTGCGCCACCAATACGCAACAAAAATGTAGAAAACCTGACTTATAAGGAAAGGTCACAAAAACTAGTCATGTTTAATCTTAAGAAAAGAAGACTGAGGGGGACCTGATAACAGTCTTCAAATATGTTAAGGACTGCTACAGAGAGGACTGTGATCAACTGTTCTCCAAGTCCACTGAAGACAGGGACAAGACAAAACCAGCTTAATCCACAGCAAAGGAGATTTAAGTTAGATATTGGGAACAGCTTTCTAACTAGGTAGCTAAGTTATGGAATAGGCTTCCAAGGGAATCTTTAAAGAACAGATTAGACAAACACCTGTCATGGATGGTCTAGGTATACTTGGTCCTGCCTCCACGTAAGGAGCTGAACTAGAAAACCTCTCTAGGTCCCTTGCAGCCCTACATTTCTATTATTCTGGTTAGTATGACTGTAGCGGGGTGGTTACCCGCTCTGGCCCGGACATGGTTAAGGCCAGCCCTGGGAGAGGGCTGGGGCTGTAAGAAAAAGCCCAGACTGATAAGGAGAGCAGGCACAGCTGGGGCCACACCCCAAACAAAGCACAGCAGGTCCTTATAAAAGGGCTGCTAGCTTGGAGCTAGAGTCTCTCTCTCCAATCTTGGAGGGAGCAGGGCCTGGTTGTCTGAAGAAAGGGTACGGGGAGTGAAGCAGGGCTGGGGAAAGGCCAGAGGAGCAGGGGAGCTCCAGGCTGGCAAGTCCCCAGGCTGGAAGGCCTGGTCCTAGGCCCACCCCTGAGGTACTGGGTGGTAGAGGAAGACAGCAGATCTTACCCCCTTGCCTGTGGTGACTGGCTCTTATACTGCAGTCTGGCCCAGGGAGCAGGGGCTCATTGATGACTGGCAGTAGCCACTGGCTGAGGCAAGGTGGGATTAAAGGGTTGGAGTCCCCGGGGAGGGGAGACCTTGAGAGTGAGGGGTTACTGCCAGGGGGAAGCACCCCAAATAACGTGGCACCAAGGTCCGGGAGGGACATGGGGGGGCCCAGCGGCAGCGATACATCGGCCTGCAGAGGCCGCTCCAAGGCTGGAAAAAGAACTAATTCCCCGGACGCCAGCAGGAGGTGCCGCAGGGGTGAGTCCCGCGCCGTTACAATGACATATAGGCAAGAAATAAAGGTTAGATTTAAAGTTGTGATAGTAAAAAAGTGTTAAGAGTTTGTAATCTAAATATTTAAAAAAAACACAGAATGACAAACACAGGGAAAACACACCCTAAGATTTTGTCTTTTTTATCATTATTTGCATAAATGTATTATGCATTTTAGAAATTGGTCTGCATTGGGAAGGTGCAGGGAGGAATCATGCTACTATATAATTCCAAGGAAGGAAACCTGTCTGGCAAAAAAATTTTTCCAAGCTTCTGGGAAACAACACACAAGAGGTGCTGCTCCTCCAGCATTTGAAAGGGTGCAGCATTGTTTGCCTTCTTCACCTGGCCAGTGTGAACAGCCCAACTGGATTATGGCCTCAATGTATAATAAGAGGCGGTTCCTGTCCCACCCTGAAGAGTTTCCATAGATGAGACAGATCAACGGTGGAGCAGAAATGAAGGCAGAGAGTTGAACTTATCCAAATTCACACAAAAGGTCAGTGGCAGAACTAGCATAGCTCCCAGGTTTCTTGGCTCCCAGTCAAGTCCCCTATGGACCGTGCTGCTTCCCTTAATTCGCACTTCTTCCCCAATAGCAGAAGTTCATGTACAGTCAGATGAATTCAACAGAGCTGTAAGTGCCAAAAACACTTATAAAATTGTACAAGACTAAGTTTCTAAAGATACTATTGTACTCTCTACAGTTGTTTATAACAGGTCCACAAGAGATACACGTAGAAAATTACGGGCCATTGGGAGGATCATTTAAATGGAAGTTGCAAGTTACTCAAACTTATGCCTTTATACAAACAATAAAATAAAGGCAAACAACCAATAATATAGATCTAAACAGAACAAGGAAGATACAACTGAATGCATTTTTTTAAACAGAAGAAGTTCTATTCAAGGTATATAGCCAATATTTTCAGAAATGACTAGTGATTTTTGGGTGCTTCAAGTTTTCAGGTGTCCATCTGCAGACATCTTTTCAAGAGGCCTAATTCCAGAGGGCGGAGTGCTCAGCAAATTCTGAAAATCAGGATCCTTCAAGGTACCTCAAAGTTTGGCCTACAGATGTTGTGGTAGCCAAAATTACCTGATTCTTTTGGAAAAAAATCTTGGCCATGTGCATACATATTTCAAAAGTACCAACTGATAATTTTGGGTTCCCTCAGTGTTTGGATTAAACATAACAATAAGCTAACTTTAATTCTTGGGGTGGGGAAAAGGGGGTGGGGGGGCAAAAAACAAACAGCTGACACCTGAATAAATACAAAAAAATTTCTTTAAACTAAAGGGTGAGGTCAGCTCTTTTTAGCGCACTGATTTATGTGGAATACACAAGAGGCTCTACTCAGAAATCTCTTCCCCCAGCTACAGGTGGGGCTAATTTTATTAGCTACATTTTCCAGGCATCTCACATGCTGACCTATTCCAAGGAGTTCTCTCCAAGAGCACTTGGATCCACTAGAACACACTCGGCACTACTCTCATATCCCTAGTAAGCCAGCAATGACTGACTCATCAGCACTAAGTCCCAGCCCCAATAGAATGGCTTGAAAGCGTGAGAAAAAATTAAGTTAAACATAAGACAGACATGCACACCATAGGACTGCACAAGCATTACAAGGGCTATAGGGGATTTTTAAACTAAGAGGATAGGAACACAGCATTAATTTTGCAGCTGTTCTGTCAATAAACAAGTACAGAGAGAACCAAACATAAAATGAATTCTGTCTCAGTGTCTTATATTAACCCCTCCTTGCATGTTCCCCCTCCCCCCAGATGAAACTCTCTAGGGAAGCCCAGAAACCACAGATCGAATAGAAGAGGAAAGCTGGGAGCATCCATCCAAGTCTTCAGAGGACTTTACAGTGGACTGAAGAATTGACTCTGAAAATTAATTTTATCCACTGCAGGTTTAAATTATCAAATGCATCGTTTCCACATTTAGTAAAAAAATTAATTACTCAGTTTCTATTCCTTTTGCACCCTGGGAATAACGAATTCCATGCTGCACTTCACAATTAGTTAGAACGGTCCAAAATTCTTAAAACTGGTGCAGTAAGGTTGCCTTAGTTTCCCCAGATTCCTAAAGTTCCTGCTCTAGAAAGCAGTGCTGCCCACAGATCCATTGGCTGAAAACCTTTGAAGTCATGCTCTACGCTATTATCATCACTGGCTTTAATGGACTTACACTGCCACAAAACCATTGTTTCTTTTCCTAATCAGTGTCTTAAAGCAGGAGAAAATGTTTATTGTAAGAAAGATCTATAAGCATGCTCTAACACTATCTCAGCAAAAACTATGAAAGAATAGGAGTAAATTCTTTAAACCAACAGTAGTGTACTATTACTCTGTAAACGGTGCTACAGTGCAAGCTTATTTTCCAGTTCTTCGGATACATACCAAACACTTCATTATCTTCTGAGGGTTGTTTGGTTAGTCTGGCTGCTTTAGGGCTTGCTTTATTTTCAGCTTCTTCCACTTCCTCCACTTTTGTCTCCTGTAACACAAATACTTCTTTAGATATACCATTTCAGGTAGCAGCTGCAAGGAATATTATTGACATTATTCAACAGCAAAAACCAACCAAAAAAGAAAACCCAAACCCCTCTGAAACAAATATTTCTCTTAAATATGTTTTTATGAAATGGATACATTCTTATGTAAATGATGAAACACTGCTTTTACAATTTCATGCACGTGCATGCATATATACAGAATATATAGAAAATAAACCACAGAAAAAACAGAATTTTACTATTTTTATGAGTTTGGGGCAATCTAACAGCTCACTGGAAGCTCCTCTTCTTTCTGTCACTTTCTAATTATGTGGTGGTAAAACCAAATTGATGCATCTGCTCTGCATTTTCACCAAGGATTATTTTATAAAGAACTTTTTTCCCCCCCACTCCCTTCATTGGAAGCCATTTTAGTTAGTTATGGTTACTGTCAGCAACATGGCTGTATTACTTGTTTTCACTCCCTCTTTCCTATTTCTGTAATCCAATGCTCTATACTGTCAAACTAAAATTACACGCTCCTTGAGGCAGGTACTCTCTCTTCCTTTAGGTCCGGGCAGGACCTAGCAGCATAGGACCTCAGTCTGTTTAGAGCTATAGGTAACATTGTAATACAAACAGCAATACTGATAATAGTATTTATACAATTGTAATATGTAACGTCACATGCCTTTAATTCCCTCCCACCATGACAGTGTCTCTCCAATGACGGAATCAGCACAGTTCTGCACCACACAAAGGGGCTAGATTTGGGGAAAATGCACACCCCCTGTGCTCCGCAAAGGGCCCATGCTTGCCAGCACACAAGGAGACTTGTGGTAACATTACCAGACCCTTGCAGTCACTCAATAGGCACCTACTTATTGGCTGCTTCTTTCCCATCATGCCCCCTTCACACATACAGAGCCTGAGTCCATTTCTGTGGTGTGGTCGGAATGGAAGAAGGCTTCTGAGCCAGGCACTGAGACACCTGGGCAGAGGGGAGAACATGAGGGATAAGGAGATGGTTTGGGGAGAAACCACCACACAGTAACTAGGAAGATATGGACCTTTGACATTCTGCATAGATTTTGTCCATTACTAGGAGCATGTCTACACAGCACCCTAAACCCAGCTGGGGCCTGGGTTCTAGAACCTTGTGAGGTGGGAAGATCCCAGAGCTCATGCTAGAGCCCGAGCGTCTACACCGCAATTAAACAGCCCCTTAGCCTGAGCCCTGTAGCACAAGTCAGCTGGTACAGGCCAGCTGCGGATGTCTAAAGCAGCGTCGCCATACCCTCAGTGTTTCTGAGCCAATGCTCGAGTGTCCACGCTACACTGTAAACTGGGCCCGGGTCTCTCAGACATGCTAATGCAGCCATACCTCACTACATAGACCTTCTGACTTTGGTCTGCAGCTTGAGCTGCAGCCGCACCACGAGCTGCAGCCGCACCACAAAATGACAGGGCTTGGACACAAGTCACAGTAGGACACAGGCTCTGACCCACCCCGTTAGCAGGGTCCCAGGATCCGGATCCTGAGTGCCTGTTGACCCGAATCTGCCTGATTTATATATGGAGGGAAGAGGAGCCTGGGCTTAGTATGCAGTGCAGACATACTCTATTTGTAAACTCTTTAGGGCTTAAATCATGGGAGAAATCCTGACCGCGGTGAGGTCAGTCGATGGCAAAATTCACATTAACTAAACTAAGACCAGGATTTGCCCCATGTTTTCTTCTGTGTTCCTACAGCACCTAGTACAATGGGGGCCCCATCAAGATGGAGGCCTCTGCATGCTACTGAAATAAAACTGTTAAGGAGTGAGACTGGCCAAAAACAGCTCATTTTTCATTGACCTCTTGTTTAACCGGATAAAACTGGTTCTCTCAAAACATCAAGAAGAAATTCTATATGTATTTAGGAAATTTAGCAAAACTTGTTCATTTTATGTGTGAACTTTATAAAGTTTTCACCTTAAGATTAGTTTAACAGCTTTTAAAACTGACAGTTCTGTAATGGGAGCATGCTGTGCATTCAGTTCCCATGCCAACCTCATAGCAGTCAGTGAGGCACATAGCAAAGTAATAATAATGACAATCACAAACATCCAGCTTATAGCATTGTGTACTGGCACTGTATATACCAGTCAGGTACTCAAAACAGATGCATGCAGATAGGAAGTCTGGCATGCATGATCAAATATTTGGAAAAGGGCCCAAAATGACTAATGCAGTATTAAGTATTTCTAGAAAGGGTTTATTAAGAGCTAGAAAGAAACATCAAAAGTCTTTTACCCCAATTTTCAAGAGCAGACAGTATATTAAACTGCTGAAATAGCTGATCACTGAGAATGCTATTCAATACAAAGAACTGGATGATTCACAGGATTAGTAATTAACTACAGGATACTTCACTTTGAGGATACCATTTTTGGCACAGGTCAGTAACAATAATCTGATGGCTTCTCAGTGGCTAATATGAAACAAGCTGATGGAATGTATCTAAATTCCTAGTAGACTGATGCCCATATTCCAATTTGCATCTCGACAGTCTCAACAGATACGCCAAGGGCTGACTATGCATGGGTGTGATTCAAAGCATCCTGTACTCTCACCTTACATTCTACTGTAATAATCTTGCACAAAATATGCTTTGGGAGGTATCATTTGATAACTAATAATGTGCTGGTCAATATCATCATGGTGGAATGTATGCAGCAACATTATACGTAAAGTTATGAATTCTCCCTGAATTATGCTGGTGGCACATTTTCAAACCCATGCAGCCCCGTGTAGAAAGAACTAGTCAAGCAGGTCTTAATGGGATGTGTAAACAGAATCCTCAGACAGCAAGAGGGGAAAGAAAGAAGATAAAGAAAATCTGCACTGCAGCATACATAAGTGAAAAGAAACAGCCTGAAGCCTCCTTCCTTCTTGCTCTCAGCTTGAAAGAACTTTCTCTAGGGGTCACTCACAGGAAAATGCATTTCAAAGGGTGACTGAACTATAAAATTGATAGGTTTCAGAGTAGCAGCCATGTTAGTCTGTATCCGCAAAAAGAACAGGAGT